TGCAACAATTATCAACTCCCAGTGGAAAGACTAAAATATGCATGCATATTCTTTTTTAAGCTAACATGGCAACTCACTTTTACTTGTGTCATGTGAGCATGCTTTGTGTAAGACTTAACTTTCCATTCGAAGTTATGTAATTTTGAGGATTTTTTCTAAAGTCATTTCAGCTTACATGCTGAATTTGTCAGATATTAATAGGATCTGATGACAGCATCTTTGTCATGTGCACAATAGAGCACGGCTACGGTTCTGTGTTTTGATGCTTTCTCACTTCCCCAGAGAACTAAAACCTGTTCTTCCTCCTGCAGAAGTAGACTCTACAATGTAACATTTGACTTCCACCTATATGGTACTTTAAAGCCTTCATTAATCAAAGGAAGGAATGCACACAAGCCTGGCTATCATGTAAAAAAGCTATGTAAATACAGTGCTTATCGAGCATATGTCAGCCTTTCACATGCAAAAGTTTGAATGGTATCATACATATACCATTAAGACACTGTTTGCTGAGTGTCACATTTATGGTAAGAAATCTGCTCTTACCCAAGAAGCTCCCATGTAGGTAGACCAGTAAGAATAGGTAACATGATTTCATAATGTGACAGTTGTCATGGGATGAGCAGCCTCTGAGTTTAAAATCACTGGGGAGAGAACAAGACAAAGGAGATTACACAGAGAGGCCTTATTTACCCACAAGAACTATTAGCCTAAAGGGTGGGTTTAAAAGTCTAATCGTTTTGTTCACTTTCTCTTAGTTAATAAAACTATGAAATAGAAAAAAACATCATAAACTGAAGTTTTGTGACAAAGGGGGGTCGGGGCATTTCATGGCGTCAAAGCCTCTCAAAGCCAGTTAAAAAAACAACGATCTTAAAAAGAAGAAAAGTCTTTTGTCAGTCTATTGTTACTGGCCTTTCACCCTCATTCCGGCATGCGCTTGGCAGACAAGAATCGGGGAGTGGCTGTCAGATATTTTACCGTCAGTAGCATATACTGTAGTGACCTTCAACACGGTTGCATGATCTAACAATAATGAATCAGTGGAAAGAATGCTGAAACTTTACCCCATTCAGCTCCAAACAATAGCCATGAAGACACTAAGTCCTTTGCTCTGCATGGAATATGTATTGCAACACCTTATCTAAGAAAGTACTTTGCTCCAATAGCAGTTGATTAAAATTAAACTAATGGGTAGGATTTGATGAAAACTTGTGAGGAGATGCAGTATAGGCATAAGATTTTATCCGGCCTGACTTAATGCTGAGGACCACACTAGGGAAAAACGTATGGTACATTGTTCTTTATGCTGCCCAACGACTGAACAGCCACGGGAGATTAAAGAAGCAATTGTCCACTTAAATGAAGATTACATGAGCTACAGAATAGATATTTGTGACTGTTTTCATTCTGGATTTACATTCAATACACTTCATGCTGTCTTAAGGGGAGTTAACGATTACTATTCCCCATTCTTGTTTACAAGCTCCTTTAATTTCCAATGAAACTCCATTCTCAGCTTGTATCTTAAAAAAAGATCGACTTTAAGTTAAAAGTTACAAAAAGTTTTCAGAACAATAGTAGATTTATCACATCTTTGGAATGAAATTCTAAACAAAAAAAAGTCAATGTGCACCCCCACTCTTAATTCTCATTCCTCACACACTGGGGCTAATTTTGAGACATTTACAGGGAAAAAACATCTTACTAAAATGTTTAATTGTGAATTGACTTCTTCACTAATTGATAAGCAGTTACAATAATAAAGTTCTCTCAGGACAGCTGTTTTCTCAAAGCAGCCAAATATGGATCATGCTCACATGTCCTTGAATTTAGAATGAATGATGAGAAGAGATTCAAGTGTTTGCTCGGGATCACTGCCCTTCACATGTTTAAGTCCAAATCAAACACCACGCAGGTTCTTGTGATGAATCGTCTTTGAAAGCTAGTGTTTCTAAAAGGTGTAACATGTGAAAGAACACATTTCTTACCTAACAGCCTATATTTTCAATTGATTGTTAAGCTGATTGTTGATTGTTAGGTTGATTTGTATGTTTTGGCTGAATTTGATAAAGCTAAGGAAAAGACTTTAGAATTTCAACGCTTTAGATTATGTAATGAAATACTGATGCTGTCACATTATCAATTTGCCTATAAAAATAACGAGGTAACTGTAACAAGGGTAAATGTTTTTTAAGGTAAAAGTTAATTGTATGTTATGTTTGAAGTAAATCCCGCAATACTCCCCTTGCTTCTTTATTACTACATACACAAATTTTACAACCTTTAAGACTGATGCGGTCCATTAGTAATGCATTCTAAAGTCTTCCATTGCCAGATTAATTAGCATCAATAGGATTCACTGGTGTATGGATTAAATCGTGTAAAGTGTCAACAATGGGTCCACACTAATATGCCACAGTAACAATGAGTAAAACAGCGACTTATTTGGTACTTTTTACTTAACATAATTAGAACAAACTTTAACTCATCGTAACAAGGTGTGACCTATTATGAGAGTCCCAATGACACAAAGCAAGAGCAAAAAGAACCAGAGCTGACATTATTCCTTTGCGGCAACCTGTTCACTACCAGCACATGCACGAAGACATGACGGCGGCTCACTTAATGTAATTAGAGAGGTAAACACTAAAAACATGCCCATTCTTAAAACAGAAATTAATTCCCCAGATTCCTTTTGTCTTTATTTAAAGTGGTCTGATAGATTTACAATCAAAACTGGAGTCAGAGTACCATCAAATCACAGCTGGATCTCTTACCGAGTGTTGTCCTTTGGTTGCTGTACGGCCCTGCTCTTTAACACCAAGTCTCCACAGACACCTGAAGCACAGGTGTACCAGTAAGGGTGTGTTGCTTTGTGACGATGACACAAGAGATGATGGCTTACACCTCTGCCTCACACGGGGGGGGGGGCGGTGCTTGCAGGTGCGTATTGTACTGTAGTTGGTGCATTTCAGCATGTGCTCATTGCTCTGTGCGTGTACTAATACTGGAGGGAAAGAGGAAAAGAAAAGGGGATGAGAGTGAGATGTTACATCTTTTTCATTCTGTTAAAGAGTCACAGTAGTATCTCTTTTTGGGTTGTGTAACTGACTTTCTCCGTATAGTAGAACAGCAGCGTGAAGCTGTCATCTGCGACAGCTGAGGGATGTTTAACTTAGAGACAAGGAAGAAATTCCATTTCAGTTTATTCTGAATGCTGAACAACTGCCTTGGGAAATATTTTCACCGCACTCACCCCTCCCTCCAAACAGGGGTAAACAGGTTTTCCGCTGATTTGAAAAAAGGCATTTTATTTCCTTCTCAGATTTAAAATTCATAAGATTCTTTTAATAAATCTCATGACATATTTCAAAAAGCTTTGTCTATTTGCTTAATAAATGGTCAATATACATACATATATATGTAAACAAGTCACAAATATACAAATATCAATGAAAAAGAAGACAAACAGAGCTCTGAACTGTCATTTGCATATGTCATTGTTCAAACGTGCACATACCCACACGCATAGCAAGCATACCCACATCAAGTTAAACCTGTTTGCTCTGACTAGAAAGAAGCAGACCAATGTCAGCGCTGTGTCAAAGAACTAATTCAAGTAAATGATGTCCAGTCTGTTGTGCGTTTTGTTTTTTAACCGCTTTTGTTTTGCATTTCCAGCTCTGCCATGCTCTCATTTTCATTTTCTTTCAAATGAACCATCAGAAGAGTCTTCACAAGACTCTATTTTACTAGTTTTGTCACCAGCAAATCTTAAAAGCACCAGGGTTAGAATAATAGCTAAAAATCATCTTTTAATTTATTTCTTAATTTTAATAACGTTAAGCTCCTATGAATTGATTGAGGAGAAATCTGCTTGTCAATTTCTTTTAGCTTTGAATCAGACAAAGGCACTGTAAATTAATCAAACCGGTGTAATAAGTCGAACCTTTTTTTAAGCTAACCTTGAAAACCAACAAATAAATTTTTTTCTAAAGTAGCAGAGATTGAAAACTATTCAAACATATCCCCCTTTTCCAAGTAAACACAGATCTGGTTCAAATCATACGGATGCAATACCAAAAACCTGGTTGTTGTCTATCTATCAACTTTTAAATAATGTGTTGCAAATGGTTAAACTGATTAAATCTCGAAACCAGATTATTTGATTGGTAACAAAAAATATCTGATGGTTTTTGCAATGACTAAACGTGAAGCTGGTGATTTCTTTGAAATTTGCTTTGATAAATGAATGCCTGTTTATTCCCAGCAGATACCAGATTGTCACGAGATAGTACATGTGACAGCGTGACTTGGGGAGAGACCTCTCTGCAGAGCTTTGCTCTGTGGCAGCTCGACTCCCTCAACATGCTGCGAATCCTCATGGTTATTCTCAGTTGTATTCCTGTTTAGTCATCCTGTTAACAGGCATTTGTATGGGGGATGTTCTTATGTATAACCAGCCTCTCAAGTAGTTTGATGAGTCACCTGTTAGGAGATGTTGCTGTTCCCCAGTGTAGGGAACCACTCTTATACAAGGACAAAGGGTTGGAAAAACTTCGATGCAACAATGGCAGAATGTTTAACAAAGGCTTCTTCAATACAAAATAACTCAATGAATAACTTGAATTTGGGCCCAACTCAACTGAGGTCAACTGAACGGTAACAAAATGCAAACAAAACTGACCTCCAGACACAGAACGAAGGGTGCTTAAATGGGGTGAAAAACCCCCAAATCTTCCATTCGGAATAATGATACGTTCCTGGCTTACACCTCCAGCTAGTTTATATTTACAGAATTTAAAAGAAAAGAACAAGTGTAAGTAAAGCATTCAGACAAAAATTTACCAAAGTGTGCACCCAATAGAAAATATTTATCTTAATAAAATAACTTATGACTAATAAAAGAAGAATATTATGATATCCAGCCACTAGGTGGCAGTGTCGCGCAGTTGTGATTTTTGGCCACTAAATTCGCTTTCCGGTTTCGGCAAAGAAGAGTCCTTCACACGTTTGACCCAAGTAAACACTCCGGTCCGACTTACGTGAGCATGGAACCAGTTTTAGGTCGTTTTAGGAGCGTTGTCTGAACACATTTTGGAAATTTCTGCATGACTCTCACGCGCTGGGATAAAAAATACGAAACAAAAACTAATATCCAGATGAAGCTCAAGAACGTGTGTTGGGAGAGCGACATACGTTTGAGTGACCTGCCCCATCATGTCTCTGTGGTTCGGGTGGTGCGGGCGGTGTGTCCTGCACGGTGCCCGGCACCGGGGAGGTTTCCGGACCGGGCTCCGGACTCTCCCGGCGGCCATTGGAAGCGGAGCGGGGGAGCTGCGGTCCCGTCCCGCCGGGAGGAGGAGCTGCTCCACGGCTCAGGGCGATGTGAGGGTCCGGTTCGCCCCCAGCCCCACAGGTCCGTTTAAACGAGCTGGGATGTTATCCGGAAGGGTCGGTAGTGAATCCCTGACCCAAATGACCGTATTCAAATAGCTGATTTTGTTTTTGTTTCTTGTTTTGCTATGTTCAAAACCAAGGCTTCCTAAACCTGCACGTGTGGCATCTTGCATAGTTTTGAATGTTTCAAGTGTAATGATTAAAAGATAAATGATGAGCTTGAACCAGGGATGTGTTTAATGCTTTTGTGGCATTATTATTATATGAATTTCCCCAAGAAGGCCCTTTTTATGTTTGAGCCGGAAGTAGACGGATACCAGGTTTGCCAAAAAAAATATTGTCTTTGTAAAAAAAAGACTCTCAGTTTCTTTATTTTCACAGTATTGGTTTTCTGACGAATAGCTAAATTGCATGCGATGCATAAATAGAGCTAGTGTAATATTTTTACAATGGTAAATGACTCTTTTCCTGCTAAAGCAACATGATTTAAAGGCATCCTCTGTATGTCTGCAACCTAAAGTTGTCTTTTTTTCCTGCAGGCTTTCTGCACCTCGGAGGCCTCCGAACCGCTCTCTACAATTATATCTTTGCGAAAAAGTATGAAGGTGTTTTCATCCTGCGACTGGAGGACACGGATCAGAGCAGACTGGTGCCCGGAGCTGCAGAGTCCATAGAGGATATGCTGGAGTGGGCTGGTGAGATGGGCTTTTTTGTGGCATTTCTTAACTTGAAACTCATTCCCAGTTTCTTATTCAGCATCAACAGTGCGAAAACATGAGAAATATTAGAATTTCAAAAGCCCCCTATGCTGTGAAGCTATTTTGTGGAATATCTAATCTCTTCTTCACCTGCAGGTATACCTCCAGATGAAAGCCCTCGTCAAGGGGGGCCACTGGGCCCCTACCTGCAGTCTGAGAGACTGGAGCTCTACAATCAGACAGCCCAGCAGCTCATTGAGAGTGGACACGCCTACTATTGTTTCTGCAGCCCTCAGCGACTCGAATTGCTGAAAAAAGAGGCTCTGCGCGCTGGACAGACTCCAAGGCAGCCGAAACACTCACTATTTCCACTCCATCCATATTATCCGTCTGCGGAGAGTAAGCGGACATCTGCATGAGTTCGTTCAGAGGGAAGGCACTGACCGCTTATTGGTTTGCACAGGTATGACAACAGGTGTCGCCACCTGCGAGCGGACCAGGTCCAGGAGAAACTGGCTCACGGAGCGTCACATGTGATCAGGTTCCGGCTGGAAACCGGCGTGGAGCCTTTTCAGGATCTGGTCTTCGGGTGGAACCGCCACGAGGTGGCACAGGTCGGCTTTGCTGCGATTTCCTGTGAAAATAGTTCAACCTGAGGTCATTTAATTCACGGCTTGTCCGTTTTCTAAAGTCACGCTCTCTGTCTTTTCTGCCCTCTCGCCTTAGGTGGAGGGTGACCCCGTGGTTATGAAAGCAGATGGTTTCCCCACCTACCACCTCGCCAACATAGTAGATGACCACTACATGAAGATCAGCCATGTTTTGCGAGGGTCTGAGTGGCTCATCTCCACCTCCAAACATCTCCTCATGTACAGGGCTCTTGGGTGGCAACCTCCCACCTTTGGACATCTTCCACTCCTCATGAACAAAGATGGCAGTAAACTGTCCAAAAGACAGGGGGATATTTTTATTCAAAGCTTCCAGAGAGATGGGATTCTACCTGAAGCTCTGTTGGATATCACAACAAACTGTGGATCTGGATTCAGCAGTGAGTGATTATGGAAAAGTTTGAAGTAACTAAGTAGCTTCAGAATAGTTGCTAGAAAAAGTTACTAAACAGAAAAAAATAATTTGCCATTTAATGTGCTTATGTGTTCCAATATAGCAAATCGAATGGGGCGGAGGATAGATGAGCTTATTTCTGAGTTTAATCCCTCAAAGATCACGACCCACTCGGCTTTGTTAGATCTGGAAAAACTGCCAGAGTTCAACAGGTGAGTCAACGTTTGGCTATAAATTTGTGCCTCAAGTGACTGTTTTTCATCTCCAGTGAAGTGAGGCAGTCCTTTTTCAAGTGAATTGTGGTGGAGGCCCACCGGATTTAGTCTGTGAGCTGTGTACCTCCAGAAGACGGGGGAAAAAAACATTGAACGCAACATTTACCTGTCACATTAGCACATGCCGTAAAGTTGAGCCAGGTTTGACATCTTGCGACATAAGACCACTCATCATAAAAACATTAAGTATATGCAGCATCCCTCACTGAGATGAGTCGTGCATGTTTTTCTATGGTTAATTTGTTTATGTGGAGATGTGGTGGCATAACATGCCTTTACCTTGTTCTGCACATTAGAACAATGTTTTCATGGAGGCATTGATTGAATTCCAACACAGATGGACATAAAAGGGATTTAACTACTCAGTGACTTAAATACATGAAAATTGAAAAAATATATAAATAAATAAAACAAAACGGTCACTCTTTTGACTCCAGATATTTGACTGTAACTCAGAGGGAATATTTTAATCTTAATTTTAAGGGGTGGGGTATTTAGCCCTATTTATTTTATTTTATTGGCCAATATTTACCTACAAAATAATCGCTCTGACTCAAAGTTAGAATGTTTCCCACCCTCTCTGGCCTGCACATCGTCTGTCATGTGGTGATCTTGTCAGACTAACCACAAGAACAGCACAGTGCAGCCAGCTCCCTCACAGGGGGGGGCGGCTCTGAACCAGAGGACAGATGAGTGATGTTTAGTTTTTTTTTAAAAACGGAAGAAAAAATAACTCCCTTTCTTGACCTCTGAAGACCGTAGCAGATTTATCTGTCTCCTCACCGACAGAATCCACCTCCAGCAGCGGATTGAGGACACGCAGCAGAGTCAGTTCTTGATAAAGGAGCTTCAGGGCCAGCTCCAGCAGGCCTACCCAGGAAAGATCCAGGACAAAGACGTGCTGCACGAGGATTACATCAGGCGTGTGCTGCAGCTCCGCAAGGTAACCACAGCAGCCCTCCCACAAATATTGTTTAGTTGCATTTAGCTAAATAAGTGTTTAAATGACGTTTTTTTCTCAGTCATACAGGGAATTTGAATCTTTTTCTGAATAAGGAAATTTGTCATGTGTGAGGGACTTTGATGATGCCAAAACTTTGATGTTCCATGGACCTGCGTTGTTCTTTGTCATACTAACTAATGGTCTGTTCCCCCCAAAGGGTCACATATCCTCTCTGAAGGAGCTTTTGAGCCCTACTTACTCTTACCTGTGGGTGCGTCCTTCCTTCTCCAGCCAGCAGGTGGCAGCACTCACCGCAGAGGCCCATCTCATCACTTCATTAGTGTTGAAGTATGTGCAGAGTCCAAAACTCCAACTGGGCATTTTTTCTTCTTCGTCTGAACACTATATTGTTTGACGAGGATTTTGAGGGGTTTTTTCTGTCTGTTGGTTTAGATTGATAGCAGAGAAAGGAGAGGAGTTGACTCTGGATCATCTCAGCAAAGATTTGAAGACTCTGGCAAAGCAGACTAAAGTCACCAAGTACAGGGAAGTGATGAAGCTGTTACGGCTGGCTCTCAGCGGTCTGCAGGTACTGATGTGCCCCGTTTGTCTTAAGAGTGAAACACAGTTCAGTTTAGTTTACTTTCGTTGAGCAAAGGTTGAGTCAGAACCTACTTAAATTAATAGGCCTGAAATGCTTTTTTACAATCAGATTAATGTGAATCAATTAGCTGCACCATAAATTAGAAATCTGAAAAAACCTGGATGCCTGTTGTCTTCAACAAACATCTCAGTTACTAACTGATGAATCAAACTCTTTATTTGTTTAGTTCAATTGAATGTGGCAAAGTCCTTTTGATCCAAACAATGATCAGCACCTATTTGACACATTTGCGGTTACATATATGGAAAAAAAATAGTATAACCTAAAATGTTGATGTTGAGCTCTAATGGTACATAACTGGAAATGGTATGCAGATCTTATTCAGAGATCCAAAACTGAAAGTTTGACCATTACCGCAGCCTCTGTGAAGACACCGGATTCTTTCCTTCCAACATGGCTTTGCAACTCAGGCAGTTTTAATTTCAATCACAAGCGCTTACAGGGATTAGTAATGTAAAGAACATGGAAAAGATTTGATCTTAAATGACAACTATAATTCAAGTCAATATATAACTTATTTACAAGTCTTAGGCTGCTGCAGTCCCCACAGTTATATAAGATATTGGACACACTCTTAACACAGCTTTACTAAGTCATGTTATTGAAGTCTCCAGAATCTGCATAATCTTCTGACTCGAGTCATTTTTTAGTTGCTTTCCTTTGTGTAGTTTTAACCCTAAACTGTCATTTTCCAAACCACACGTAAGGCCAAATGTAGCCACAGTAAGAAAAGCACGTGCATAATTTTATTTACATAAGCTTGGAAATAGTATTTTGTAAAAGAGCTTTAGTGGTCCCTCAGTGACTCAACAGCTTTGAACAAATTTAGGAAAGGAGAACTGAATGAGGAAGCCGTTTCTGATTGCGTTTCACACAAGATTATGTCTGGTTTTCTTGTGTCTGTCCTCTGATCGCCGATCCTTTGCTCCTCTCTGTCATGTAGCAAGGTCCCAGCGTTGCAGAGATGATGGTCTCTTTGGGTCCTGCAGAGGTCAGCCATCGATTCCAAAGGCTTCTGCAGCTTTCAGGCTCTAGTTAAAGATCATCAGCACCTCTTTTCCACCTCCCTGATGGACTGCAGTCAAGACCATGTTGAGAACAATACATTCATTATGTCTCTTTTGTTTATTCTACAATGTTTGAAATGAACTGAGGTTGAAAAATTCTTAAAGATATTTATAAGAGAATTAAAGAATAACTTTTCGTTTCATGATCTGTCATTGGTCTTTACTCTAAGACTTTACAGGACCATCTGTTTCGTGCACAAACTGATGGGAAGCACCTTGGTTTTTTTATGCAAATCGTGCGCTTTTCTTAAGAAAGTCAATTTCAACGAACTTCTGTTTTCATTTGAATGGTCATGTCATAAAGGCAAAAAACGTCCTGTTCAAAGGTTTTAAAAAGTAAAGCAACGATTTAGGCACAAAAAGCTTTAACAGTGAAACCGGAGTGTGATGTAGAAACATTGGCTCATAAAACACTGCCTCAAAAATATTTTTAGGTTAAAATTGACTGCCATTTTTGCACTCCAATTTAAAAACATTTGCTGTAATTTTCAGCTCTGTCTTGCATTGATAACCAAGATTATAAATTAAGAATAGTTATTCTGCTGCCAACAAACATGAGAATAAATCACGTAAGCCATTCAAAATAGAATCATCATTAACCAGCTATAGCAGTAGTATGCTACTTGAATATGGATCAGTGCCTGTTTTTTTTTTTTATCTATTTCCCTTACATTTAATGGAATCATTTTCATTGGGAAAATACAGCTTAAGTAAAAAAAAATCAAAAAAGGTAACTCCAAATGTGAATAATGCTCTTATATAAATGCTTTGAACTCTTTTGTCAGCTCTTCAAAAGCACACAAATGAAACCCATCATTATGAAAAATTAGAAGTCAGGTTATTATTACTAGGTCGTTATGGTAGAAACAAAAAGTAACTCATGAATTAATGTGATATTGGGTTTTTTTTAGTTCACTTTCTTTGGGAGTTTTAGTAGCAACAAGCTAATAAAAGCTTTAAATGAACAAAGTAAGCAAATATACATACATTATTTTATCTAAATGTCTAGTGATGGAGTACAAAGCAATGGAAAATATGCATGATATATAAAACCACTTCTAACAAACGTGTGTGGTTACATCGTACAGACGTAAATGATTGTCTGAATGGCTGCAGTAAAAAGTTTAACATAAACTCCAAAGATGTTTGCATGGTACAGGTAGCTATGGAGGTAGTTTATCATAATATCACAGTTCTTTGGACAATACTATAAACAAAAGTCATTGTCGGACTTTGGTGCAGTGTGTGGTTTGGGTCATTATTCACCTCTTTTGACTGGTAAATATTAGGGTATTGGCCTTATCACAATGGCTGTCAACACCATACTTGAACAATACTATACTTAAGTAATAAGTACATAATTAGTAAGTACCAGTCGAAGTTTGAGGATTTGAAATTTTCTTGAACTTTATATCTATACATTTATATTTTTTCAGGTGAAATATAAAGAAAATATTTTTCTTCATGGTGCAAAAATATAGGAAAAAATAAAACTTTAGGTTTTTCACGAGATAAGGCAGAGCCCCAGCGGGTGAAGGGGGCGTAACGTGGAAGTTGGCTCGAGCGAGAGAAGTGTGACTGACGGGGCGTGAGTGTCACATGTCACCATAAACAAGCGGCAGTTTGACACCTCCGCTTCTCCAGGTCAGCAGCTATCTCTGGACCGGCAGGAGACGGACGGCAATGGCGAACAGCGACGGCCAGGCAACTTTTGAGTCGTGGCTCAGTAAGTAAAACACGCACAGGCAACAATTATGAGATGATTTCTGCTTCTTATTTGAGCTGGCGACGCGACGCCGGCCTACAAATGGTCGCTTATGTCCTCCAACGGTCGTTTTCAACGACTCGGTTGTTTTACAGCCGTCACTGCTGCAAGAGGACGTTTTATGGAGGTGACAGTGCTTGGTAATTCAACTGCCTTTAACTGTTAAAAAAAAACATTTTAGCAGCGAGCAGAAAGTAGCTGGAACAGGAAGTTTAACCCATGCGCGCGCTTGACAAGCGCTCGTGCGGTTTCTCAGACCGTCTGTGTGCGCGCTCGAGCGGTGGCAGGAACCTTAAAGCTGCTTTTTTGTTTCAGAAAAGGTAGCAGTAACTGTAGTCCCCCCTCATTCTAAACGTAACTATTTAAGCGATTTAGCTTCTGAGTTGCACTCCCACAAGTAAGTTCTAAAAAATAATCCACAGGAGTTATGTTATGAAACACCCAACAGCAAAGGAAAATGCAGTTAAAATGAAGTCCTTAGCAAAAGATTAGTTAATTTGAGTGTAAAAAAACAGGCTTAGACATACAGCACACCAAAGATGTGGTCGAATGTAACTCCTGGACGTTTCACAAAATTGCTAAAGTTCAGTAAGAATCCACATATTGCAGCAGAATTAAGGGCAGGTCTTTCAGAAGCCCACCCCAGAAGTCAAGTCAGATCAGTTATAAGGTTGTCTTCAACTGTTCCATCGTTGTGAACCGTCCCATAACAGTGATATTCAAACAGCCCCAGAGCATGACACCAAAACCACCACCTGCAGGTTTGGTGTTCCTGAGTGTCTGTCATGTCTTCAAACATCCATCTAGTTTATGTGGACCATTGCATTTTATTAATTGTTCAGTTTTCAGTTGAGCTGGAAAGTGTTGACTTTGGAGACTTCTTCTATTCCAACCTCCAGTCCATGGTGGTGTGAAGCCTGGACAGTGACACTGGCAGAATTATGCACTGGCTTTTCCTTGTTGTTCATGATCATTCAAAGCAATTTCCCCTGAATAGAGGCTGACTTTTTGTTAGCTTCAAGGTCTTCCAGATCTTGGCATGCCTCCAGTAACTCTCCTTGCACCGAAATAGTCTGCTCTCGGAATGATTTGTGTTTTGGTGTCAACATGAAGTTAAATGTCACCGGTGAATCCTTTATAAACATTAAACCATTTTTAGTCTTTGTGCTAAGCCTGTTTTTTTCTTTTTTTGTCAAACCAGACAAGGCCACGGACCCGAATAACCAAGTGGACCAGTGGGACTCCATTCAGGGCTTCTACCAGCTTGTAAACCAAGACACCAATGGGTGAGTAGCACATACTTCATGTTTTTTATTTTTACACTGCACCTGAAAAAGTCACATGAATAAATGTTGCGAGCCACTCGCTGCTGATGGTAACTTTCAAACAGTAGTGGAATCGGAGGGAGAGCTGTTCCACTAGTTGCAACCACAGTCTCTGAGTTGCACCACACTGAGATGGTGTAACTTATGAGAGAAAGGGGAGGAAATCTTTCTTCTTTACGTGAATCATTAATAAGATCTTAGGATAATGCTGTGCAAATTTGGACACAAATTAGGACATGCCCTGTTATCCGAAATGTTGTTAACAGCTTGCAGTAATTTTAATGTGAATGAAAATTTTTATGCTGTCAGGCCGCAGGTTGCCACTCGTCTTCTGGCCCATAAGATCCAGTCCCCCCAGGAGAAAGAGGCACTACAGGCTCTCACTGTAAGTAAACAGACATATTATGTTAATTATTTATGATCAAATACAACTGCTAAGTCCTTCGTGCTCGATCTTATTTTAACAGCTGGGTGCCATCTCGTCTTGTTTGGTGTCAGTGTGCAGATGCACAATGTCCTTCTGCAGCTGATCATGCACTACGTTAAAGTCATGCTTTACATTTATCACCACAGCTTCCAAGATACGGTGAATTCTTTGAAAAACAATTGTCTTTGTTATATCTATGGGGGTGGGCAGTCTTGTGAATGATTTCCATGACTAAAGTTTAACCACATGAACAACAGGAGATAAAGACTGAATGTGCAGTCAAATCTGCTGTGACAGTACGCAGACTGATGTCTTTCAAGAAAGCTTCAGTCAGTGCTTTCCAGTGAAATGGAACTTTTTGAGGGTCATGTGTCTCCTATCATCTGACATTGGAGTGTGGTTGACCACAGAATCTGCTCTGTCTTCAGAGTGTGTTACAATTCTGTTTTTTCTAAAAGTTTTTCTTTCAGTTTCAGAAACCATTTTTTTTCTTCATTTTTGTTTTGTCCTTTCCAGGTTCTTGAAGCTTGCATGAACAACTGTGGAAAGAGGTTCCACACTGAGGCTGCAAAGTTTCGTTTTCTCAATGAGCTTATTAAAGTCTTAACACCAAAGGTACGTCACCAGATTCACACATGGAGGTGGTAGCTTCTGACCACAGGTTTTCCTTTTTTAGTAGTTGTGTTTAGGTCACCAAAATATAATTAGAATTCTGTTCATTTTTCGAGTTGAAATATATAACTGATCAAATAAGGACATCTCAGCCATCCAGACACTTCTACAGACACTTAAAGATACAGTCACCTAAAAACACCTGGACATAATATTTGTGCCTTTTCTTTGCTATTTTAAAATTAGTCATTTAAATTTTCCTGTAGCACTGGGATACCGGGTCAAATTCCTGTACATTTGGTCAATAAAGCGATTTCTGATTTGAATTCTGATTCGAACAGTTTGAACAAGCTTTCTCCCTCATGCCTTATTTGTCTAAATTCTCATTTTTGTCTTTTCATTTGTTAGTTTTGCTACATTGATATACGTAAGTAAAAAAAAAAAAGGTTGAGATGTTTCACACAGTTCAGGTGCAGTGTCTTTTTTTAGAGACAGTTTGCTTTCATTCATTTCAGCGTCCTGGATTGTCACACCTTTCATTTCGCTTTCAGTTTTTTGGGCATATTTTATTTTATTTTTTTCCCATTAATGTGAGCCCTGTCCACATTAACGATGTCACATGTTGTTTAAGCAGTACTTCGGTGCCTGGACGCCACAGAAAGTTAAAGACAGAGTTACAGAGGTTCTGTATGGTTGGACACTGTGGCTGAAAGAGGAACCAAAGATCCAGGAAGCTTACAGCATGTTGAAAAAACAAGGTGAGGAACAGCACAAACACAAATGATGAACTCTTCATGCAAAGCTGTTCTCAGAAGACCACTGGTCTGAGAAACATTTGACTTAAAACCGAACAAAAATGCAAAATGTATTAATATGCTACAGGGGGATGTTAGTACAGTGATATTCCTGTTTTCTCAAGAGGAATATAGTTTTGTTTTCACTTTCTTTTAGGCATTGTGAAGGAAGATCCCAAACTATCAGACACAGTTATTATGGCTCCTCCAGCACAAAGAACCACAGAGTCTGTTTTTGATCAAGAAGAGAAGGCCAAGGTGGGTGCTTTTGTTTGTACACGAGGGCACGTCTTCTAACCGACATCTTGCTAATGTGTGTGTGTGTGTTTAATCAGCTTTTAGCAAGATTGTTGAAGAGTGGCCGACCTGAAGACTTGGAATCTGCCAACAGGCTCATTAAAAGCACCATCAAAGAGGTGATGGGTGATACGCTGGCGTTGGCGAACTTTCCGTGACAGCACAGAAAATATAAACGAGCTTTTCTGTGTGTGTGTTTCTAGGAGCAGGAAAAAGCTGAAAAAGCGTCAAAACGGGAGTCAACATTGAAGGAGGTGGAGGCCAGCACCAAACAGCTCAGAGAGCTTCTGAATCAGCCCAAAGCCACCGGAACATCATTACAGCCCAGCGATGATGTGAAGGTATGTTTTACATTATACAGACAAACAGCCCTCGATCCTTGATGACAATCTGCGGCCTCACTAATTATTCACTTGTAACAGATTTGGCCCCCAGAATAATGCCCTAAAACCACATTTATCAATTACAATTCACCAAGTGTTTTAACATTTTCCTTAAGAAAACTAAATTTTTCAATTCAATTATATTTATATAGCGCCAAATCACAACAACAGTTATGAAGATGACATGATTGGACACTGAGAAAGTCTGTAAAGACAAACATGAGCCACAGTTGTATGATAAAAAAGTGGAAAAGGACTGTAAAGCTGCAGAACTCACTGGTACATTTTCAGTGCGTAGACGTGCGGCTGAAGCTACTCGACTTTTAATTATCTTTCTTTATCCAACAACTGCAGTCCCTGTACGAGCGTTGTGACCGGCTTAGGCCGAGTCTGTTCCGGCTGGCCAGTGAAACCATGGACGATGATGCGGCTCTGGCGAAGATCCTGGCGGCAAACGACGAGCTAACGCTTGTTGTGAATGACTGCAAGAACCTGATGGGGAAAGGAGAGTGTGACAGAGGAAGAGCAAGAAGTAGAAGTGAAGAAGTAACAAGTAAAAGCAACGGTAGGCCTCACTTTGTTATTAGTCTTCTCTCTGTTTCTGTGGAAAACATTGTGCCGAGGCCTGCAGTGTGGTTGATTTTGTTTTCTTTTGGTTAGCTCCGACAAGCCCGCGGGAGATTAAGAGCTACCACCTCATCGATCTGTCGGCACTGGACTCTCCAAAGACTCGCAGAAAAGCCGATTCACCTACATTTGAATCGTCTTCTCCCCCCTTTTCTTCTCATTTGGATCACAACTTTTTCTCAGAAGCTGAGCAGGACTTGAATGAACTAGGTATGCCTGCTAACTTCACCCCTTTTGCTGTCTTATCTCTAATGAAAGGACCAATGAAAATGTTCTAATAATGTTGTTGTGGTGTTGTGTAATTACAGAGTTTGATAATATGGTCTCAAAACAGACCCAAGGGCAACCAAAGTCTTATTATGAGGAACTGATGCAGGTAAGACTTATATCAGACTAAAGATACAGATCACAGCTGTTGTATTGAAAAGCATGTGAACGGTCTTTTCTTTCATTTTGTTTCAGCTTAACAAAGATGTTCAAATGGCAGATACTGAGCAGAACAACGGAGGCAGAGGAGTTTTGCTGAGAGCCCGTGGGTGTGGGGGAAGCAGTGCTGTATCAAATGGAGGAAATAATTGGTGAGGATGTCTGTAAAAAGAGGAGAGGAAAGAAGATACCTTAATACCTCAAGGTGTTACGGTGTTACTTACAGTCTTTGCTCTGCTGCCTTTCCTTTATAGCAGCTTGTTTGAGTTGTAAGCAGGTATCAGCATAATCATTTCTATTATACCTCAGTGATTATTACTCTCTTTTAGTGCTCAAACTTTACTTTTTGTAAGCACAACTTTTGAACTCAGCTTGGACTCAACAGGCCGAAAACCGCAGCGACTAAACAAGCTCATGAATGAGACAAATTAGTGTTAATCTCCTATTAGCTTCCAAGTGTCAGCTCCACGTGAAAAGTTATGTGTGCACAGGGTCCTAATGAGCTTTATTTTTTATGATGTGACCAAGTTTTTTTTTGTAAATTTTGATACAGATTATAATGGGACCATATTCAAAATGACATGAGGCAGACTACATGATCAGTCATGAGTCATTTTGCTGTGACAGTGGAAAGTCATATGTTCTTTTCCATTCATCTTATTAGTAAGCTATTTTTTCTTCTCTGTCCTGTCAGGTCAGCCTCTCACATTCAGCCGTCGACAGAGTCAGCACCACCGTCCAGCTCAGAGAATCAAGTGTCTGAATCTCTGATAGAAATGGAGGGGAGGTCTCTTTCCCTTCAGTCACTGAGGAACATCTTCGTTCCACTGGAGACCGTCAAAGCCAGTATGTCTGCTGGAGCTCCCTGACCTCCTTTTTACTCTGAGCTTAGTAACACTGTGCTGTCGTGAGAGAGCTTCTTCTCTTAGTGTCAGCAGTAATTTACCGAATCACCCATCATGTCCGCGCTCATAGTGTGTTGCCTCTAACTGCTGGTGTTTTTGGTGTTCCAGGTCATTTGGAACCTATCACATTATACAACAGAGCAGGAATTCTGGTGTCACTGCATTTTGCCCGGGACTGTCCAGCCGATCACCCAGATGTTGTCGTGGTTGTCATGTCCGCTGTGAACACATCCGCCCTGGATGTGAAGGACTTCATGTTTCAAGTTGCTGTTCCAAAGGTAAACTGATCTCACTGCTTTAGACTAAATGACTGAGGAACTTGAACTGAACTGAGTATATGTGTGATATAAAAGCAGAAAGTTCTCACTCCAACATCTGTCCTGCAGACCATGTCAGTGAAGCTTCAGCCTGCCTCTGGGACTCACCTCCCCCCTTACAACCCCCTCCTGCCTCCACCCGCTGTCTCGCAGGTCCTCCTGTTAGCTAACCCTCAAAGTGTGAGTAGAAGCGCTTCTTTATGCAGAACTTGAATTTCCTCACAACGTTGTGGGTGTTGTGCAAAATTTCGAAGGAAATCTTTAGCACTGGCATTTCTGATGTGTCTGTAACACCTTCTGTATGAGGATATGAACTCTGTCACATAAACAAGCAAGTTTGAATGATTTGAACCTGAAAAGATAGGATTGTTTACAGAGTTTATCAGAGTTAAACGCCACTGCATGCATTCTACGTTTCTCTGTGTTTTCTGACAGCACTCATACGTAATGCTACATGGACCATAAAATGCCCCAAAACATATTTAGCAGAATGTGATAGAAAAAGAACCAGCACACAGGGCTCACAGGAAATGAGCAAAATCATAATAGGGTGAGGGTAGTACACCAGCTAAGAAATCTCTAATCCAACATTTACTTCCAAGCACTGTCTGGCATTTCATCGGCGTATTTCAACAATTTCCACTAAGATGTAACTGTTTTTCCTCCAGCGTAAGGTTCGGCTGCGCTACAAGCTAACTCTGACACACGGACACCAACAGATGAACGAGACTGGAGACATTGACAGCTTTCCTGACTGGACATCCTTGACCAGCCACTGAAAAGTCCACAAACTGAGGAGAGTTACTGAAACAGGGGGAAGATCAGAGAAGTCTTTTTTCGGCTGGAGCTGATCTTCTTTTCTCCTTTAAGTCAGAGGTTTCGAGGTCTGTTTTGCAAATAAAATGCATGACAATTTCATTCCAAGCAAAACGTTATGCAAAAATTATTTGGAGCCTTCATTTTAGCATTTCTCAATGGTGTTTTGGATTAAAAATACTGAAACACAAACAACAGGGTTATGAAATAAATTTAGCTCTGTATGTTTTTGTGGTTGTGAGTGCCATAAAAACTCAAGTTCTAAGTTTTAAAGACAGTCATTAGTATTGATTACTGTAATTTATTACTCTGATATATATATACAGTATGGCACCATTTTCTTTATGCACATGTTACTGATTTTAAGTACATGTTACTGATTGGGCTACAAACATAGAAAAAAATGGATCAACATTTTAAGGTGTATCAAAGAAGGCTCCACAGTTTTTGCTTTTGTTGCATTTTGTCTCTAACTAACCAAAATGCCGAAAGAGACTGCAGCCATTGTTAATTATCCAACCTGAGGTTAGCAGCACAGGTGAAGTATGAGTTCACATAGCACAGGATTCAACTAAGACGTTTTCTATAACTTGTTTTTTTTATGTCATGTGGTTCAGCCCATTATGCTAGCAGCTCAGGGTTCTTTAGTTCATCCCTGACCCAGGTCTTGGATGTTCTGCAACACCTTATTGCACTGTTTCTGCAATCGCTCGCTCCCGTTGTCGTTAGCCCACCGTTCGCACAGGAATCCTATACATCAGTGGAGACCCATATGTTACACGTGTCTGGCAGGGTAATGTGTTTATATTTATTTGCTTTTGTTTATATTCAACATCCAAAACTCCTAAAGTGCCTTGAAGCCAAAGATATTTAATGTGTATTTATTTTACAAATGATGTCTCCTGTAAAGAAGAAAAGCTTTTTTTTTCTTCATAGGTTTATTGAAAACTGTGATGCAACATCATTCTGTTATATTTAAGATTGCTGTTTGCTGTTTTTAGGGTGAAGTTTTAATTGAAATGATTCAGGTAAAAAACCACTGGCCATATCTTAACACAGGAAAAGTAAATGTTTGAAAACAGATAACATCTTCTATAGAAATGCATGTGGCTGCAAGACACAATTTCAGGAAATAGTTACAGAACTGCCGCAATTTCTTCACAATTTGACATGATTTGTTCCCATTCATGTGTTTCTTTTTCTCTGCTGATAGCTTTCCACCGCAGCGTGTGTCTTTGTGCTGTTTTCGTCGATACTCTTTTCCTATTTGGTTTTGTTGTCATTTGCATGACTTCTAACTGGGCATCAAGCCTTAATGGATAAATCTGAAGCTGTTTTCTGACTCATAAGTTTTATGCTGTATTCGAAAGCTTAAAGTTCTTAATAAAACCACAAAATAAAAATAAAAAACACTTCTGTCAACTCTCAGATTATACATTTCACAACATGTCTATCTTCCTTTTTTAAAAATCTCTTGTCAGTATTCAGAAGAGAAAAATCTTAAATTCCCCTTAAAATTTGGGAAGTGGTACATTTTTAAACAGTGCAGAAGTCCAAGTGATGCAACAAAGATACCGCAGAAAGAAACGATTGTTTAAATATATATTTAGTGGCACTACATTCACCGTTTTCTGAAGCTTTCTCAAGATCACGAGTAGAAGCTGCTATTTGTTTTTTTTCTTTTAGTTATAAGAGTTGATGATTAAAAAAAAATTGTGTAAGACATGCTTATGTCTGAGGAGATGAAAGCCCAAAACTGTGAATGAGATTTTGCATATAGACTAGCTACTTGGTTCTGCTTTCAGGACCCCTCCAACCTGCAACATGACTGCTTCCTGGTGCATTGTTTTTTTGGGTGGGGGGGAAAGAAATCCATTGATTGAATTGATCATATTTATTATATGACATCAGCAGATTAAAATACATGTTTACTATGTACATATTTGTAACAGGAGTGTTAGATAAAGTGCGAAATACAGTTTTTACAAAACCAAAACAAAGAAAGAAAAAGAATTTCGTGGAAGACCATCACACCCGTTGGCCTTGCCCCACAGTTTCATTGCTTTGTGATGGGTCGCCCCCCCGTTTGGAGGCTGGATTGCTCAGTGCTGGTTGTGGGACGGTTTGGCACGATTCAGGTGACAATGTCACAAGGGGATGAACACTTTTGACTCACTGTTTTTCTTTTTTTCTTTTTCTTTTTTTACATGAATGGACATTGACACATACAATAGATCAGCCTTTTAAGGCTGAGAATGTTTCCACTTTGAGAAAACAGTCCACATATTATCTAAGAAACGGTGTCAGAAATCCAGCATTGTTGCTAAGGGTTAGTATGTGAGGGGGGGGGGGCACACTGCTCAATGACCACACAGCTCAAACGTGTATTCAGCGTCCTGTTCACAGGTGGAATAACTTTGTAGTAAATATAACATGACAAGCCCGGCCTTCCAGTTTTTCGTCGCATTTTTCTTATCAATTTGTTCATAACAGCCATTCTTGTGTTCGTAATTTCAGTATTTTTTGTCATCTTCCCCATCAATAAGACATAGACGGTGACCAAGAGACAATATGATAGTCTATAAGAACTGGAGAACAGGCACACACTTATTTGCATGTACGTATTTCAGCACTTCTTTTTTTTTTCAGTGTATTTTTTTCAGCAGCGACAAAAGGTTCATCAAACCTGTCCCCCCCCGGCTTCTGTTATTGGTACGCCCCGGTTCCTTCCCAACGGCAGTGATAGATGCGCAGGTACCAGGTGAGGAAGAGGATAGTCTGTCACTGCTGCCCGACCGGCTCCCCCGCGACAACCTGGCTGCTCAGAAAGTGTCCGGAGGGTGTTGTCTCCACATCTGGCGATGTTACTTTGGGCTTTTTTTTCGAGACGGCCGAGGCTGGGCGCAGGGCCTCGGATGAGAGTGTCACACACTAAAGTGGGTGGAGCACAACAGAAAGGCATCTCCCGCTCTTCATCCTCCCCTGCAGCCACACTGCCACCTACTGGAACCTCTCTAGCACCCTTTGTCCCCCCCCC